TCGGTGGGACCAATTTTGATAATAAGCTAACCAGAGAGTTGGTCAGGTAAACTCGGTGGGACCGGTTCACTCATTTCGGTGAGACCGAAATGTTACGAAAGGGAAACCGAGAGTTTACATTACAATCTCGGTGGGACCGCGCTCATCTCGGTGGTACCGAAATGTTACAAAGGGAAACAGAGAGATTACAATCCCATCTCAGTGAGACCGAGATCCCTATCGGTCAGACCGATTTGCCCAGGGTTTGTGGCAGTGGCTATGACATCTGAACTCGGTGGCGTCGTATAAAAAGAATCGGCGGGGCCAAGTTTGACTTTTGGTTTAGGTCATATGTGGATGTGAGAAAGTAGTTGAGGATTTTGGAGCATATCATTAAGCACTTTGAGCAAGCAAGCCATTAAGCAACACCTCATCCCTCCTTGATAGTATTGGCTTTTCCTATAGACTCAATGTGATCTTGGATCACTAAAATATAAAATGTAGAGTCTTGAGCTTTGAGCTTGAGCCAATCCTTTTGTCCTTAGCATTTTGAGGGGTCCACTTTTCTCATCCATGCCATGCCATGCCATGCATTGAGCTTTCCTGAATTATTTATCTTGAAATAGCATTAGCTCAATGAGCTATATGTTGTTAGGAATTACCAAAACCACCTAGGGATAGTTGCACTTTCAATCTTCCCCTTTTTGGTAATTCATGACAACATATAGATCAAAGCTTCACAGATGATAATAAGATTGAAAAACATTGTCGCTTTGAGAAGTATGTGAAATGTAAGAGCTCCCCCTAAATTTGTGCATAGTTTAAGATTTGCTTTGGACTGCAAATGCACAATGAGTTAGGATCATGAGTTACTCTTTCATGTCACATACATCTTGGTGGAGCGCTCAAAATGATAATAATTAAATACATGCACTCATCACCAAGCAAAGTGAAAGATCATATAGAGATAAAAGGATAATGTCATCCAACAGGCATTAATGTAGCATAGCATATGATCGAACACATGATCATCCAAGTATCTCACAAAAGCATATAGTATCTCAAACAAGCAAATAAAGTTCAACCACCAAAACAAGAGAGAATAAAAAGCAACGCTCTCTCTCGAAGCATATGATCTATACATTTTTTTCTTCCCCTTTGGCAACAAGTTATCAAAAAGTTCATAGAAAATGCATAGTACTAAATTGACTCTCAGGCTTGGTCTTCAGCTGGTGGTGTAGAAATAACGCCAAGGACGAAGGCATCAGTTGATGAAGATGGAGCTGGTGGAGTAGGTGCGGGAGCTGGTGGCACTGAAGTTGTAGCTGATACAGATGAAGTTGCTCTGGTGTCTGGAACAGACACTGCAGCAGATCTCTGTCCTTTGGGCACTCTAGCAAACGCATCAGTGGTAGTCTTGCCCTTCCTCTTCTGCATGTCATTCTGAAGTTGCTCAACAACTGACTGTATCTCAGTAACCTTCACATCTAAGTCATAGAACTTCTGCTCCATGATTCTCTACAAGCTCTCCTGATTTTGAGTCAGGGTAGCTAATCCCTTCTCAATCCTCAGAGTGGAGGCAATCAAGTAGCCAACCTGATCTTGCTTGCTCTTCAGGAAATACTGAGATGCCTCATCAATGGTTGGCATCTTTGCAGCCTTTTCAGTCCATGCCTTCTCCTTCTTCGCTTGAGCTTGCACAGAAGATGGTTTATTTTCATCCATAACCACTGTGTTGTCCTCAAAATCTGGGTAAATGGGCATGTATTCCTTGTCCAAAAGGTATGTGCCAGCGCCCATATTGGAGTTGATTACAAGAGGGACATACAGCTCCTAAATTCAGAATCAATTGATTGCCTGGACGAGGGACATGTAAGGCTCATTGTGGTTGGTGTAGACGCACGTGGTGTGGAAGCATGAGGGCAGCAAGTGCCGACGAGTGGTATGACACCGTGCGAACTGTCTCCAGCAGTTGGACTGTCAGCATAATACTCCCTCTGTCCGGAAATACTTGTCATCAAAATGAATAAAAAGGGATGTATCTAGATGTATTTTAGTTCTAGATACATCTCTTTTTATTCATTTTGATGACAAGTATTTTCGAACGGAGGGAGTATATGTCAAGCCCTTCCAAGCCTACTCGGCTTATCCAATACTCCCTCCGTCCGAAAATACTTGTCATCAAAATGGATAAAAAGGGATGTATCTAAAATTAATATACATCTAGATACATCCCCTTCTATTCATTTTGATGATAAGTATTTTCGGATGGAGGGAGTACCACATTGCCATACCATGGACCCATCAGCAAATGATGCCGAGTACGTCGCATACTCGGCATAACTATTAGCCGACTGTTTGACGATATTTTGTCAAGATTTATTAATTTGACATATATGATAAGCTCAGAGGATTAAAAATTGCAAGTGATATTGCGCAAATAAGGAGACCCGTACGTGCATATTTCCATCAAATATTTTTGCTAGTCTGCTGGCTTAAACAATGAACTTGACACGTTGCATCCTATATCCTAGCCGATGCATGCATGGCCAGGGGTATATTATTTAATTAGCTTTGCTAAATAAAATGCGTGTGCCAACCCAAAGGTCCAGCACGTCACATGGATGCAACGTTGATTTTGTACTATTATGCATCAACCTAGCTAGCTAGCTTTTGCATGGCCAAATGGCCCGTTCGTAGCTTTCCTACCTCCAGCTTCTTCGGGAGCACCAGCAGGCGGAGGAGCAGCTCGATGCTGGCAGGGTGATCGTGTCGGACGCGGGCGTAGGGGAGCAGGCAACGGCCCACCACTCCAGATTTGCCTCGCCTGCTGGCGGTACTGCCAGCATCAGGCGAAACTGAAGGCTGCCTACAAGGAGTTCGACGAGGCATTAGACGAGGTGTGGGGCAAGACTGACGACGATGTGGACATTGCCGGCTCCGCTGAGGCTGCGCCCTGTTGCTACAACCACGAAGCTGGCACGCCCACAGGCGCCGCCAGCAGCGATGAAGAGTAGTGCATGGTAGGACGCTGCCGCTCGGGTCCCAAGAAGGCCATCGCTCTTCCCTCTGCCTAAAGCCAAGCTTTGCGGGCTGATAGTCGGTGTCCGGTTAGTCGCTCACACTACGGTGGTGTAGACTGTGAAGGCAGAGCTGGAGAACGCCGAGGCGGAACTCGAAAAGACGAAGGCAACTGCCGGAGCTTTCAGTTCTTGGCGCTCATGGCCAGACATGGGGAACAGGCGCGGACAATCATCTAGATTAGGTTTAGAACAGAAATATGTCCAAAATTATACCTTCACAGTGGTAAGAGCTTCGATTTTAGTTGAAGTATTCCTGAAATGTAATGACAAGATCCACCGTGTTTGCATAAATCTTTCCCCGGTTTATACGAAAATCTGCCTAGTTTGTATGAATTTCGTTGCTTAGTTTTAGCAACGGTTGAAATATATGCGAACAGCGTTGGATGACGGTCTTTGACATTAATATTGATTTGACTGGTCTCATGTCCGCGGTCAAATGCCGCAGCAAATTTACGGGTCAACCTTAGAGATGCCCTGACCAAAGTTTATTTATCATCTAGAGAGCGAAAATCCAATCCAAGATAAGTTAATCTCGCACGCCGCCCGTCGTCCGTGACGCATGCGACAGAAGAAGGCGAGTAGTGTGGCGCCGGCACACCGAGTCCGGCCACGAGGGGGTGACGAGGACGAGTCCAACACGGTTGGGACTATTTTATGGATTCATTCGTTCATTGTCCCAAGCAACAGAACACAACACGCGGCACCAACTCAATTCCAGCTCACGTTTCTCATCTCGTTCCCGATCCCCTTTGCCTGCCTGTTTCTTTTCTCCTCGTCGCCGGAGACTTGGAGCCTCGGAGCCGCCCCACCCCTGCCCCCTCATCCCCAGGAGAGCCAGCCAGCCAGCCAGGAATAATCCCCTTCTCCGCGCGGCGACCCGACGCGGCGGCCAGGCCAGGCCACGTCGCTGTCCATCTACTCCGACGCCGGCACCGCTCCGGCCTGATTCCGCCCGACTTCGATTCGGTATTGCCTCCTCCTCCTCCTCCTCTCCCGTCCGCTCCCGGTTCTTGCGCCTCTAGTTCCCTTGTTCTCACCTTCCTCTTCTCCTACGATTGGATTGCCAAGGCCTCGTCCCCAAGGGCCGCCGCCGCCGGGGGAAGCAACCAGCCAGCCGTCCACGCCCCGTGCGACGGAGCTCCTGCTCCGGTGACGGACGCCCGCTTCTCCGCGGCGAAAACATTGGGTATGTGGGTGCGACAAATCCCCCTTTTCTTCTCTTCCGCCGCCGCGGGGGCTCTCGTCTTGTCCCTTGCTCCCCAAATGTTGGGGCTCCAGATTTTCTGGGTTCGTAACCGCTCCCACCGTCATGGAGCTTCTTCTACCCTTCAGCTCCCTGCTCCAGGATTTTTTTGACAATATCTCGCCTTTAATCCCCTGATGATGATTATCCGTGGCAAGAAAATCAATACTATTTCATCTTGCCGTATTAATTTCCTAGTACTCTAGTTCATTGATGCGAGTTCCGTGTTTCAGGTCAGTTTAATTGATCCGAGTATATCCCCCTGGACCCAAACGCAGCTGATTAGCACCGCCTAAAGCCTCTTTTTTATTCCTTGGAATCAATAGGCCATTGACACGACACTTTGAGAGCTCACGGCTTCTTTTTTATCCGTCGGATGGACTTGGAAAGCGGCTTGTAGCTGTTGCATTATTCCACTTCACTACTGGCCACCCTTTCCATGTCATTTTCGCAGTAGCCTTTCATGCTAGCCGATTCCAAAGCACATGATCACAACCTATCAGTTTACTTTTGAGATTTTCCCTGTATGTATATTCAAATTCCACATGGAGTTTGCATCTTCCAACACATGGCCCAGCACTGATTAGGAGAAGCTCCCTATTGTTTTCTAACGGATTCTTGTTCTGCTATGATTATTACAGGTTCCATAACTTCCAACTGTTGATTGAGTTGGCCTAGAAAGTACATCGAGAAAGATGAGAGCAGCAGTAGCTCGCTCGCTACGCCAGCTTCGCCGTTTGGCGCGGCACCATGCGGAGGGGCGCGCACCGATAAACAGGCTGACCAGGCAGCAGAACGCGCTCATCTTGCGTAGTTCCGCATCCCGTTCACTGTGCACAGTGCGCCATAATGATGAGTATGGTAGATTTGTGAGTCCAGCTGTGGAGTCACTGAGGAACATGTTCTCCACTGCCACGGCTGATTCGATTAAAGGTTTTAACTTTGTTACATTTTTAATGCATGGAACCTTTTATATTTTCTGCTGGAGGCATTTGAATCAGCTTGATTACTTCCTCAGATGTTCCACGAGGTGGTCCAATGGTGGAATATGAGAAGAGAATTGCATCAGGAGATCTTGTAGATGGTGATAGCTTTCAGGTTATTGAATTGGACCTGATCAATATTTTTCCTGCATGATTTCCTTGAGTGTTTTACTGACTGTTTTTCTGAACTTTTACCAATTGACGCAGGTTGACACGATTCAGCAATTACAAAGGCTTTATGAGGATCTTGTAGAGAATGAAGAAGCCTGCCAGCTGGATAGATATCAGTCATCTGAGAAATCTGGAAGGTAAGCGCCGTTCAAAAGCAGCTACTTAACATAGTAAGCAAGGGGCTGATTGAGTTATCCTAAGTTCCTAACCCTAGTGCTTTCTGTTTAATAGGAGAAGATGGCTATGGTCTCGCCTTATTGCTCAGCCTTCTACCGATTCACCAGTAAAGGGATTGTATCTATATGGAGGGGTCGGTACAGGGAAGACGATGCTTATGGACCTATTCTATGAGCAACTGTAAGCAAATCGATTATAACATTTTTTGGACTTACTTTGTGCTGCTTTAAGATAACCAAATCACGAACTTGAAAGTGCACATTGGTGCTGAACATATACCAGATATATTCATGGCGGTGTATAAGTTCAGAAGTACATTTAGTGCTCTTCTATTAGATTGATTTACCTGAATCTGTTCATATAACAGTTCACATTCGTATGCAACTATACAGGCCAAAGTTATTCTATTCATTTTTCAACGCTCTTCACATTTTTTAAGACAAATGACTTGTGAATCCAATACACACAAGTAGTAACAGTAATTTTCTTTTCTTTCATGAATTTAGTCGTACATACTGAAGTCTTGATCTCTTCATAGACAGTCATAGTAATTTTGAGACATGCCTAGAAGCAGTTGACAAGCTGTTGGCTCCATTTACTGTCTAAGTTCAAACTTCCAACTGTTAGGAACCAATGGTGATCATTGTAATTTTATTAATCAACATAACCAATGGTGTCTAAGTTCTGATGAAGATGCCTGGAAAATAAACTGTAGCCTATCTTCCTTTGGTTCTTCTGCTATGTGGTATTAACTAGACAACGATTTGGTACTTGCACATATTTTCCCTTTTATGCATTTCTTCAATAATCCATTGCTATCCTGACGGTACTACTTCTTGTCAGGCCAGCTAATTGGAGGAAAAAGCGAATTCACTTTCACGATTTCATGTTGAATGTCCATAGTCGTCTGCAGGTATTTTTCGTGGTTATGACATATGCATCAATCTTCTTCAGTCTAGATCTCTTCATAAACAGTCATCTTCATGCAGATGCATAAAGGTGTTTCAGACCCCCTTGATATGGTAGCAGCTGAGATTTCAGATGAAGCCATAATATTATGTCTTGATGAGTTTATGGTATGTGTATCCTTACTGTGATAGTTGTATTAGCTTTCAATGCTCGTTTGCTAACATACTCGACACATACTTTACAGGTAACTGATGTTGCTGATGCTATGATACTGAACCGTCTGTTCAGACATCTGTTCAGCAAAGGCGTTGTATGTGACCACTGCATTTCCATTTTCTTATGGCACTGAAACAACCTTGTTACTCGCATAAGAATAACTCAGTATTTTGCATTCATTCTTTTGCATGGTTATTTGTGTTCAGATTCTAGTTTCGACTTCTAATCGTGCTCCAGATCAGCTATACGAAGGTGGCTTGCAGCGAAACCTTTTCTTACCTTTCATTGACACCTTGAAAGTACGTGTTGTCATATTTGTCAGTTTCTCTGCTGCCTGAAGTTCAATCTGCTAGTGTGCTAATGTTAATTTTTGTGGATTGTTGCAGGAAAGGTGCATTGCACACCCCATTGGCTCTGCAGTAGACTACCGTCAACTGGGTTCGGTATGTTGCCTACTGTTGCAAGTTATGTATTTGTCTTTTCCAGTTTTCCCTTCCATGACATCTTCAATCTTATGAGCAGGCTGGAGAAGGTTTCTATTTTATTGGAAATGAATGCAGTACAGTTCTTAAACAGAAATTCCAATCTTTGATAGGAGATGAGGAACCTACTCCTCAAACAGTCGAAGTCGTTATGGGACGACATTTGGAGGTCTTGGAAGTTAGATATTCAGAGTTGGCTACTTTTTGTTTCATGTAATCACTCTGCAATTACTTGAACCTTGGCTATGCAGGTCCCACTGGGAGCAAATGGATGTGCATATTTCCAGTTTGAAGATCTTTGTGACAGACCTATAGGCGCAGCAGACTATTTCGGGTTATTTAGTAAGTATAGTTGTTCAGTTTCTACAGTTAGGGATTACAAAATGCTACTGTTGATGTGATCTGACGGACACCAAAATGTTACTGTGCAGAGAAGTTTCACACCCTTGCAGTTGAAGGTGTCCCTAAGTTTGGATATCATAACAGAACAGCTGCGTATCGGTTTGTCACATTGGTTGATGTATGTTTCATCTTTCCTTAGTCTGTCATCTTCTATGTTGTGATCTTGCCTTAGCCTTGTGTTTAGACATCCTTCAGTTCTAATTTGGAACTAGACACCTTGAAGACCTGAAACATACAGGCTTGGCAGATATACACGTTCGTTAGTGGCAGTATACTTTCTCATGTTAGCATTTTGAAAGAGGCTTCTGGTGAAGCTAGTATTGTTCTGATTATATGAGACGGCAGACAGTAGAATCAGTTTGCACTTGATCCGAAATTTTCTGCTGATAGGCATAAATACTGTATTACCGGGACACAAAGAATCTTGTCTCTGACGGCGCTAATGCTTTCCAGGTTATGTACGAGAACAAGGGGAGGCTATTATGCACAGCCGAGGCCGAGCCGATAGAGCTGTTTGAGAAAGTTGTGACGGTCGCTGAAGCACAAAAAAGTTCACCTAGATCTTCACGCTCGCGAAAAAGTGACGATCCCGATCTCTGTGTGGACAACGAGCTAGGATTTGCCAAAGATCGTACGATTAGCAGGTAATGAGGGTCGTGCTTCAGGAGGTTATGTCAGCTCTTATTCTTAACTTCAGTTTCGTCTTAAACCTGTTTTGCCCCCTTCATCTGCTTGTGTTGTTACAGGTTGACAGAGCTCAACAGCAGAGAATACTTGGAGGACTTTGAAGCAAAATGGCAACAACCCCTGCACGCTTTAGATAATGGCGGCGATGTCGTACTAGCATAAGTGGCAGGGCTTCATTTGCAAAGACCGCATTATAGTTTTGTTATATAAGTATCTATTATCCCGCCTGGTTTATATGGAGGAATGGGAGAAATGTTGATTTTCCTGTCAGTGATGCATGTAATTTCAGTGTGTCATGATATGTAAGCACTTTTGCATGTAGCTCTGCAAAAATGTCACACTTGTAGAGAATATGTGTCATGTCTTACTGGAATTCTATCCTATCCTTTATATGAAACTGGAAATCTTCAGATAACGAACGATGTGATCCCAAGAATTCAGAGATCCCAACAAATTTGAACCTGAGTTCAGATGAATCATGAAACTCGTAGGCAGACTCTTGTAGAATCAACAAGCTAACAAATACTGCACTATGTCAGCTCCACCACTCCTTGAGATTCATTGGAAATGATTATGAGGCAGAGAGTTACAAAGAAATTAACAATGGAG